AATGAACTTTTAAATAGAATTTGTAATTTTGTAAATTTTGTTATCATCTATATCATACAAGTTATACAATTTGCTCGTGTGAGGATGGTTTTTTTTTTTTTTTTAATTCCTTCATGCTTTCTAAAATTCTGTTTTTTTTTTATTTATCTTTTTGGCTTTTAGATTCCTTTCTGAGTACAGATGTGATGTCTCCAAGCTGGAGCCACTGGTGGCTAAGGTGGTGATTTTATGTACTTTAGGTGGAAGATCTGTCTCTCTGACAAGTTGCTATGATATTGTTTTCCATAAATAATATAATAGATGTACTTCTGCAGCCTCATTCTCCTGATAATCGTGCTTTAGCAAGAGAATGCAAAGATGTGAAAATAGACAGAGTATATATTGGATCTTGTACAGGTGGAAAAACAGAGGATTTTCTAGCAGCAGCCAGAGTCTTCCTTGCTTCTGTAAGAGCAACATTCATTGTTATGTATTTCTGCAACTTATTGTACAACTAATTGAAACATATGAAGAAAGAAGTTATTTGCTGAATCCCTGCTTGAAAAAAATACCTGACTCAACTGTTACTAAAAGTTCATTATGGATGACCAATTTGATACCTTCCATTTTATTTAGAATAACTAGAAATTTGGCTTTTTCCTGCTATAAGCAGTAGGATAATAGTAATTAACGATCATGGATATGTTTCTTGCTACCGGAACACATATTATACTATATTTGCCCATTTCATTTCGTGTTGTCTAATATAGCACTAATAATTATTCTGAGAAAAGGATTTTAAAGTATGCATGTTACATTTGGAGTCAGTGGCAATGGTTTCTGTTGATAGATAAGCTGACAAACCTCCTCGGAACTTCCTTGGTCTCTGTGATTTGATTTTTATAAAATTCTGTCTTCAAATGTAATTTTATGTGTATATGTTTATATGTGATTCTTAATAAAATAAAATAAAAAATTCAATTGCTTATCTTCAGGGCAAAAAGGTTAAAGTTCCCACGTTCCTTGTCCCTGCTACCCAAAAGGTTTGTAATTCTGCTTTACTTTTTGTGGAAATGTCAGTGAATTTGGTTTTTGTAACTTGGGAATTTATGGAGAAAATTAATCCTGAGCGAAGTGTTATATATATATTTGGATGGTGAAATTGACAGGTTTGGATGGGCTTATATACTCTCCCAGTACCAGGATCCGGTGGCAAGACTTGTTCCCAGATATTTGAAGAAGCTGGTTGCGACACACCTGCAAGTCCCAGTTGTGGTGCTTGTATGGGTGGCCCTTTAGACACTTATGCACGCTTGAATGAACCTAAGGTAAGTTTTTCCCTCCAACTGAAAAGTCTTAGGAAGCATAGAATTTGACCATGGGACCTAAACTACCCCTTGATACATTTGTTTGCACATTTTCCTAAAATGATCTTCTTACCAACACTTTACATGGCCTCCTAATGATCGTCATATCTACAAATGGTGCAAAATAGTCCAGGGTCTTGTCCTTTGTAGTAATCCAGCTATATATATTGGCTTGTAATGAATCTCTATTCCTTTGTGATCCCGAAACATTTCTTGAGGAGCATAACGCTTTGGATGTTAGGCTTCTGCTCTAATTACCCTTTTGTTGTTGAGGCATTCTGTACCCAAAAGTTTGGAGATATTTTACTTACATCAAATTAGAACACTGAGATTACAAAGACAGAATATGGGTGATTCTTTTATTTTATCTATCATATACTATTAGAATACCACTGCAGAGTTCTGTTGGCGTTATATTTTTGGCACACATCAAATGATCCTATGAGCTCCTTGCTTTATATAGTTACTGATGCTATTGTTCTCAAACCAGTTCTCTTCAACTGAGATTCCTCATTGAATCTTGGTGACAAATCTGGGCATACCATTATGACTGTCCCATTTGTTTGTTAAGTAATTATGATCTTGAGACAACACTTATTGAGGCGATGATCATTTCAGGTCTGTGTCTCAACAACAAATAGGAACTTCCCGGGCAGAATGGGACACAAGGAAGGCCAGATCTACCTTGCTTCACCATATACAGCTGCAGCATCTGCTTTAACTGGTTATGTCACTGATCCAAGAGAGTTTCTGCGGTAGACAATCAAAGGCTGTAATTTTGATCACGTGATGTATTTTATTATTAGTATTTTGTCCGTCATCCCAGTACCTTTCCAGATGTAACTTAGATCTGCAGAGTCTTTTGCTGTGCCGATACAAGAAGGTTTTGTCTGCTGTGACATTGACAATTTGACTTGTAGGCTGGCCTTAATAAAATGTTTTATTCATAATTACCATAGTAAAGATTGCTTGTGAAAGGACTTGCAGTATAGTGGCAGTGGCAAATATGAATATACAACCGTCATGGATAGTTGAATTTAACAGCTGCTATTGCATAACATCGGAAATCATTTTTACCAAAGAGGTCGACTTGGAGACAAACAACAGGAATTGGATAACTAGTGTGTAGATAGTAAATTAGTGTCAACAGAGTTTCAAAATACTAATTTGTTAAGGTAAAAACTTAGATCACGAGAGGATCCAAATCCCACAATTCTACCATTCTGCTTTGCATTTTATTTTTTTTTTTTTTTTTTTATAGCCAAAATTGGAAAAACCTCATTAAAAGGAAAAGCGGCAAAATGATGTAGCAGAGCATCAGGTGCCCTGACTCACCGACCCCCAACATTCATTTTTTCAGCGTACGGCGGTGAAGGCGGCAAAATGCATTAACAATAATGATGATCATACAATACAATACAAAACAACTTTTACTCATTGAAATCTCTCAAGTGTTTATAAATTGTGAATAACTTCTATTGAGGCCTTTCTTTCCTCGGAAAGCAGTGGAGCCACCAACTTCATTCTGCTTAGGACTTTCCAGCTGTTGCCATTATTACTGTTTTGCATGAGATTAACATCTACTATGTATCATTTATACATAACAACAAAAGTTGAAAATATGGTTTCAGATATGGTGGGTCGTTCGTTTAACTTTCATCTCCAAAATCTTATAATATAAACAAGAAAAGACAAATGTAAAAGAATCCTTTTTCTTAGGTGAATATCTTGATTATTCCTACTTTAGGACCTTCAATATCCTTATCGAAATTTACAATTTACAACATCTTTACCCATACACGTAATACATTTATGTTAGTATATGATTAAACATACATGGATACATGTAATAAATAAAGGGTTCAAGGTTTATCACAAAGATGATTAACTCTATACGCTTTGGTCTAAGAAATATGTTATCTGTAAGAGATATAACTCTTAGGGAAAGGATACAGTATCTGTTCCTGGTCTATAAATGAGATGTTAAACAGACTTTGAACATTCATTCTACTTTTCTTAGTATTACTCATGTACACAGATATTAACAATGAGAATTATCTAAGTTTTTTAATGCAATTTTGAGTGTTTCAAGATTCTTGCATGTCATTACGTTAGGATCCCACATTAGGATCTCACACCTATTAAATGCGGTATTTAAGCTTAAGGGTGTATATTAAAACTCAAGTCCAAGAGAAAACTCAACCCAAAAGACCGGCTTGATAATTGGGAGAATCTCTAAGCTTAAGTACCAAACTTAATAGGTGTGAGATCCCGATATAAGATCCTAACACACCACTAATCTTACGTGGTGTCTAAGATATTATATTTGATATTATTACATGAAAACAGATTACAATATCCTTATATTAACATACAATATACCTAACAATGTAATCCATGTGAGAACATTATAGTTGGTAGTCTCTACTTTGAGAAGACATGGAAACCAACAAGAAAAAATGTAGAAGATATGATGGAAAGTTAGAACAGTGGGAAAGCATGGATTGAGTGTTTTAAAGAAAGAGACGAATAGTAGTAGCATACAGTTGTGAGAGAAATATAATCAAGTAAAAGAGGGTGATTATGTTGAAATGGGTCACCACTACAAATCAATCAATGGGTAGTAATCTGCAGTCAAAATCAGAATGATTGCTTCATCTTCATATCTTAAGAGCCAAGTCTGTTCCCTTTCTCTCAGCAGGATCTATCAAAACAGATTGCATTGATTAGATTTACTACCAGAAGTTAGAAGCTGGAACGCCATGTCTTGTCTCTTCCCTGACCTTTTTTATTTTCTCATTTACTTTTTCAGAACCAGCATACATAATTACTAATAAATGCTATGAAGAAAAAAATATTCAAATGACAGTGGGTCATGTCATTTTTATAAATTTAGTCTTTTTCATGAGAATAACATCCAATTAAGCTTCTTCTTGTGTTTTATTTATTATGGAGGAGGTAATAAATCTTTCATCTCCATCTCTCTAACTGACTTTTTTTTTTTCAGTTGGGTCTAATTATAACCAAATCCTTTGTTCAAAAAACTGTTGGGCTCTGTTATCCGTTTAGCATTTGATCACATGTGAGATTAAATGGTATGAAAATTTTCGTTTGATGTTCCCAGTGATGGTAGGGTTCGGTGGACGCTCCTGTTTCGAACTCTGGACTTGCAAAGCAAATGTAGAGATTTTTAGATCGATAAAGATTAACTCATAATTCGATCTTACAAACTCTCTCTCACAACTTATACGTAATAACTTTCAGTTTTTTGCTCATGAATTTTGAATTTTGAAAAATTCATCGGCAAAAAACTGAACTACCACCTAGGGGTTATAAAAGAGAGTTTACGAGATTGAATTGTAAATGTAATATTATCATTTTCTGAATTATCAAAAAACAAAGACTTTTGCTTTGATGTTACAAGTTATTATACAAATTAGTGTTTGTTAGACTTGATGTTGCATAGGAGTTGAAAGGTATGAACAGATTGATTTCAGCCACGAAAGATTCTATTAATTAAAGGATTCCAAGCTGCAAACACAACACTTCGAAGCTCCAGGCTCAAGCATTAACAAATAAGAAAATCAACAGCAAATGTAAAACCACACAAGCAATTTCTTCTAGCAATGACAAAGAGAAGAAAACTGACTCCACTGCATTGCAACAACAAACTCAACACTCTAGATATCAAGAACTCTCATATTTACAGTATGAGAATAAGCATCATTAGTCAAGGTAAGCTGCAGGCCTGTATTGTACCACTGTATAGGAGGAGACAAAAACTAATTGAATATGGCCTACGGGAACCAAAAAAAAAAAAAAAAAAAAAAAAGCAGCAAGAACCAGATAACAGCTGGTAATAAACATAAAAAGAAATGGAATAAAGTAATCTTGATGCAAAATGCTCCAACTCATCAAATCTCTCTACTATTCTTTAGCTGCAGTACTTTTCAACTGCGGGTAGTTTCTTCATCTTTTTTTATTTTTCAAATGTTGGGATAGTGCTAAACACTAAACAGGCTTAGCTTTTTGTTTCTCATTCCTTTCTTGGAATATTGGACCTGAAATTAAATGATTTACTCGACTTAGATGGCGAATGGGAGAAAAGGAAAAAAAAAAAAAAACTGAGTAGTGAAATACAAGAATGTTTGAGGCACATTTGCATACCAAGTCCATTAGCCTCAGAGGTTTCATGATACGAAGCCTTTTTACTGAGCAGAGAAACATCCTGATCACAATAAGGAACACAGAACATAGCATTCGAAAGAATCGAAACAAATTATAACATATAGATGCACAATTTCTTGAATAAAGATGCATACCCCAAGGGACATCTCCAACAAGCATCCAATCTCCTTCTTTATCTTCATAGGTGAGAACAAATTCAGATGACCCGTCCCAAAGTTTAGAGGTTTTTGCAGCTGAATCCTTCTTCTCTGCACCTAACCTGTACACACAAGCACAGAGTAAGCAATTAAAGAGGCATAAGCAACAGAAATTATCTTGTTGCTGACTAAACATGGTAACTTTTTATATATTTTCAAGTGGCAAAAATTAATTTACCTATTGAATTGATTGTTGGGGTGGAAAGAAAAACATTTCCTCCAATGTTTGAGCTAGAGTCTCATAGAGGCATGAGCATTAGTCAACTTCCTTCCTATTGGAAGTCATCTATATTCACTTTGACAAACCAAGATGTCCTTTTTCATTAAACATACTGTTGGTTTTGTTACCATTGCAAATTTTTTTCTTCAAATTATCCTTTGATTCTCTTGTCACTGCCCACTTTTTCTTCTTCAGATCTTGGAGCTTTGCTTGGCTAACCAAACTGTTCATCTGTAGCCCTTATTGGTGGCCATCCCACAACCTGACTGTTTTCACAAAACAATTAATTTACCAACAAGGTCAGCCACAGTGACAAAAATGAAATCCCAGTTTTAGAAAAGAACCAATATAACAATTTGTTGGCAGAAAAGACTAAAAGGAAAAACAAAATAGATAGATTCTATCAAGAGAATACAGAACAGAATAAAGGAATTGGAACAGAGTGTAAATAACACCACCTACTAAAACATAATCAAAGCTAAACATGACAATCCATTAGAGGAAATAACTTTAAAAATAATAAATCCCAGTTCAATGATAGAAGAGAATCAAGATTAGCACAAGTCATTAATTAGCAGCAATTAAAAATATCATAACCAATAAGTCAGTAAAGGAAAAAGTTGATATTGCTAAACTTATTAAAGTTGGTTAATTTTATTGGTAACAGGACTACTTTACTCCATATTGAGGACCAACATAAAATCGAGTTGAGTTCTTCATCTTTCATGATGTAAATAACTGAAACACACAGAACGTTAGAAAACCAAAAAAAAAAACTTTTCTTTCCTTATCTTGATTCAACTTTTCTTAGGATCCATTTCTATACACAAGAAAATATGTATGCATGAACATATTTATAATACTCGTTTTCTCAATTTTAATAGCAAACATTTGGGCAATATATTCATAAACACAATACAGAAATTTATGGTTTGTGCAACATATTGAACCTGATACTGGGAGGGGATCCACCCTCATGGGAAACTGAGTCAGCAGCTCTCTTAGTACCAGAAACAGCAGAAGGGAAATCCTTCGCAGTTAAAATTCTGCCACACTCACCCCATGCACTTCCCTTACTTTTCCCACCACCAAGACTCAGTCCCAGCCCCAGCTCCAGCTCATCACTCTCAGCTGGGTGATGGTCATAGTCTTTCTCAACTTTTGAAACAGTTGACTCATTTGCAGAACCACCTCCTTTGCCACCACCACCACCACCACCAACACCAACTAAACCAAGACCACCTTGCATGACAGCAACAGCAACAACAACAAGAAGAAGCAAAGAGAAGAAAGAGTTTTTTCAAGATTTGACAGGGAGAGAGAGAGAGTGTGTGTGTAGAACACTAGAACTAGAAGCAAAGGAAGGATTTTGATGTTTTGGGTGGGAAGAGTAATTAAAGATAATAGAACAGAAAGAGGTAGGTTAAGAAAGATGGTGGAGGAAGTGATGATGTTGGGACCCATATGTCTGCTAGTGCGCCTAGCACTCTCACCACTCTTTACTCCGTTTTCCTTGACACGATCATAGTCTCTTTAGAATCTGTATTTTTTCTCATCGATCAGTTGGTCGATATAATACAAAATTTTATCAAATTTACATTGAAACCTCCAAGAAACAACTAGCTTGACCTCCAAGTTCCCAGTTGAAATTGTCCTCTAGCTTTTGAGTAGTGCCAACTGTAACATATTTTTCACTGTTCTTTAGTCATAATGTGACAAAGGGGATAGTTTCATGGGGATTTTATTACTATTTTGTCATTTTTCATTTTTGCAAAAGGTTAATAATAATTTTGTCTCTTATTATTATGATGCCACATCATATTAATTTATACATGAAATATGATGGCTTTTGTCAATTTTTTCTCTCTTCTTCTTTCCATTTTTACACCTTGTTCCTTTTCTTCTTACCCTGATTCATCTAACACTAAACCTTGCTTTAATTGATTAGATTAAGTAATCAAGAATTTATTTTGAAGTACAGGGGTAATATTTCAAGANGAGAGAGAGAGTGTGTGTGTAGAACACTAGAACTAGAAGCAAAGGAAGGATTTTGATGTTTTGGGTGGGAAGAGTAATTAAAGATAATAGAACAGAAAGAGGTAGGTTAAGAAAGATGGTGGAGGAAGTGATGATGTTGGGACCCATATGTCTGCTAGTGCGCCTAGCACTCTCACCACTCTTTACTCCGTTTTCCTTGACACGATCATAGTCTCTTTAGAATCTGTATTTTTTCTCATCGATCAGTTGGTCGATATAATACAAAATTTTATCAAATTTACATTGAAACCTCCAAGAAACAACTAGCTTGACCTCCAAGTTCCCAGTTGAAATTGTCCTCTAGCTTTTGAGTAGTGCCAACTGTAACATATTTTTCACTGTTCTTTAGTCATAATGTGACAAAGGGGATAGTTTCATGGGGATTTTATTACTATTTTGTCATTTTTCATTTTTGCAAAAGGTTAATAATAATTTTGTCTCTTATTATTATGATGCCACATCATATTAATTTATACATGAAATATGATGGCTTTTGTCAATTTTTTCTCTCTTCTTCTTTCCATTTTTACACCTTGTTCTTTTTCTTCTTACCCTGATTCATCTAACACTAAACCTTGCTTTAATTGATTAGATTAAGTAATCAAGAATTTATTTTGAAGTACAGGGGTAATATTTCATGAAAAATATTGTTTATTTATTTTTAAAAAAAATTAATTTCAGCTAGATTCTCTATAGTCTGATTGTTAATATTCTAGCTTACTTATGTCCTCATTCTTGAACATGCTTATATCTAATACCATATAAAATCTTATGAGAAACAAAGGAATGGATTCATTATTCCATATATATAGCTATATGTATGTATGTATATATATATGTGGGTGTGTGTGTGTGAAATACTCATAAAGGGTTAGCCGAGCAGTTAAACTTGTGGTTTGCTTTTATACAACTAAAAGTCATTGTTTCTCACTTCCTAAAGATGGTAGAAATCGGCAAAAGCACCAGTTTCAAACTCATCCTCACAACACGGTCGGAAGATTTCTACATTATTATATATATGTGTCAAAGATGATTGACTCATAATAAGTGTTTAAAAATTAAGTCAAGAATTTAAGTCAACATACACTTAACCATTAACTAACTATGCTTCGAAAGAGTGATTACCTAGAATTAGAAGCTCTTTTTATTTAAGAACAAAACTTTTGATGATAAAAAAAAAAAGCATAAATATACAAATTGGAATGATTCAAAATTAGAAATATAGGTAGAAGCAAATTTACCCAAATCTAGATTAATAATATATGGGTAGTGAATTAATTAAGGAATAAGTGTATAAATATATATAAAGAAAGCATAAGTGTTTAGTCTTTTTACAAGCAAAAGCATATTCTAATAATCTTTACTTCTCAATGCAAACCAAATTCCTTTATTTATTCCTATGTGCTGTCCACTATTTTAAAGACAAAGGGCACAAAACCTTGTTTTAGAAAGTTGAAACCTAAACCCTAAACTTTAAAGAAGTAGACTGTGGGGTTGCTCTATAAACTTTATACCCAATTAAAACTTAAACCTATAATTAAACTAAAGATTTCTGCCATCCCTATACTGGACCACTTCTTATATAATTACTTTCTTTTCTGGAAATGGTCTAATCTTTTTATTGTTAATTTGGGAAACAATCCAAGATCCTTGACCAAATCTTATGGATTTTAAATTAATTATTTTTTTATCAGTTTTTGCAGGTGTTTGTTCCATTAATGGAAGTAAATTATTATTATTTTTAAAAAAAGCTAATTTAATCATATTTAATCATCACTGGGTGGTTGGATAGTAAAAGAGTAAATAGATCTAATATGATTTCTTGAGTTTGAGTCCCGCAGACACTAATAAAAGTAGCCACTGAAAGAATTTACTCAATCGTTCATTTTAAGATCCTGTAAGATTAGTTAAGGTATACTTAAACTGACTCGGACTCCCCCAATCACAAAAAAAAAAAAAAAAAAAATTAATCCTATTTAATATTCATTTAATCGTATTATGGATAAATTGAAAAATAATGGATTAAGGTTTTCATAAATAAGAATAAATACCTTATTGTAGAATGTGAAAGCAAGAGGACACCTTTTTCTTTGTTTTATCTTTTAAATATTCGTTATAAAAAAAAAAAAAATACGTAATTTAAAGTATTTGAAAGTAGAAATACAAGTAGAATTTGGACAAAGGATAAAGATAAAAAGAGTAAAAAAGTGAAAGGTTGTCGCTTTGAAGGGACAAGCCGACAGAGCCACTTGTCTCTATGCCATGGTGAACCGCCACGTCAACCGACAGGGAGCGCGGCTCACCGGGGGACCAATCTCCTTTGCTTTTCTTACGTTTTTCTTTTTTTAGTCTGAGACAGCTCGACACTTTTAAGAATAATCCCTACTTAACACCACGCGCCACCACCACTGTTGCTAAGCTGTTCTGTCTGTTTTTTTATTAACAACATTTTTAAATACCATTATTTTTATATAAATGTTTTTCAATTAATAAAAGTGTTTTAATTTTTAGAAGAAAAAAAAAAGGGTTGGTGCCTTTTAAAAGGAAAAGATTGATAAATTGTATTAAATTCATTCCATATTTATTT